CTAAAGCCCAAACTGCACTTCCCAACGGCAGTTTATGGCCTCTGCTGCAGCGCCTGCTCTGGCTGTACGTTTTTGGCCTCTTGTGCACTACTTCTGGGCGTGCCAGGCCAGCGAGCGTCTCCAAAAAGCTGGGTCCTACGGTGCCAAAGGCCATTTTGCTGTAGAGTTGAGTGGCAATACAACTGTCTGCGTTCTCCTGTAAAACTGGGGCATTGTCACCCAAACCCTAGTCTGCTTAGGTCCATCGGTGTCCCTGGGACTACAGTTGGTACATGACAGCAGAGGATGTGGTTTGGAGTGAAGCCCTGCTTGTAATTAAAAGGTCCTGGGTGCTTAGGAGAGTAAATCTCCTTTCCTAGCATGGGGAAAGGCTTTTTGTGCCGCCACCTGCTAGCGTGGGAGGCTCCGAGACCTCGGGGACTGCTTTCGTCTACTGACACTGTTCAGCCTGCGGACGAAGCTCCGCCGGTCTCACCTCGACACATCACCCACAGGGTATCGGCGTTCCCCCCCTTGGAGAGCCCATGTCAACAGATGCAGGGAGACGAGAGGCCAGAAGTGACCGGGGGGGCTGGACCGGACTCGGTGCTTGCCGCGACTGCAGAAAGCCGAATTATCCGCCACCCCGTGAGTGTTGTGTGTTTTCCCTTGGACGTTTTGCACGTCATGGCTATAGGGTGGGGGGGAAGGGACACCCGAAGGGGTTTATTCACATTTCCTTCGTGAGATGCAGTGGGTGCTCCCGGCTGTGACGGAAAGCTGTGCGACCTCAGCCTTTGCTTTTGCAGCGGGAGGTGGCATCTCCTGGAACGAGCAAGGTGCCTCCAGGTCTCAGAAAGCACAGCGGGGTGGCCAGAAGAGAGCGCTTCAGGTTGGCAGGGGCTCGTGCAGCAGGCAGAAGCATCTCTATACATCTGCAGACCTGTGGGGGTTTTCCTCAAAGGGCAGGAGTCCGCCACCTTCTCGGGGAATGGGTGGTTAAATCCTTCTCACGTGGATGTGGCAACTGCACAACGTAAGCTGTCGTTACTAATTGAGGGAGAAAACAAGCAGGAGCATGGCTTTGCCAACACAGCAAAGCTCCTGTCATATCAAGAATATAAAGAATATTATATATATATATATAAAGAATATTTTATATATATGTATATATGTGTATATATATGTGTATATGTATATATATGTACTTTATATATATATATATGTGTCAGGAATGGTGTGGCCAGCAGGAGCAGGGCAGGGATGGGGCCCCTGTGC